TAAAATCATAAAATGTTCTCTTATCTTTATATTTCAAAGTATGTAAAATTAAGTATGTAATATATAATATTGTATAAACATTAAAAAGTATTATAACAAAATTTACTTTAATTTATAAAATTGCTACATCTGTTTAGTATAAGTATACATTGAAAGATTAAAAATAATTTTGGCACGCAGTTGTAGAACTGGATATGTACATATTTAAAATCAAAGCTAAAACGTTTTTTTTAGCACAAGATGCAACTTAAACTGATAAGAGCTTTTTATTACTGGATTTTATTACTGAATTCGAATTGCACTAAGTTAAGAATTATATAATTAATATTTATAAATATTTTAATAATATTTCAGAGATATTAAGATATATTATCTAGGGTATTATATAAGCATATGATCTCTACAGAGGTCATTACTCTTGTAATATTAAAAAATATTATATGGTAATTTCGAAATATTATAATAACATTATTTTAATTTCTTAATAATATTCGTATAACATTCTAAGAATATTTTGTGCTTATAGGGAAGTCGCTTAGAAATTATTATTACAGAATTATTATTACAGTATTACAGTATTATAATTGATTTATATATTTATATCAACAAAGAACTAAAAAAAATATTAGTTATACTAAAGAATTACTGCTGGCTGAATGACCTTGCTTTCTGAAGTAATACAGTGGGTCTGTTTTTGTGGCTAAAGTAATTACACTTTTGTAACTTAAAGTGAAATATAGGTGTGCCAATTTTTTTTTTGATAAAACTTTACCAATATACAATTTTCATTTATAATATTATTTTGTATTTTTGTCAGAATTTTTCAATAAAGCATTTATTAGCTTATGTATACATAAAATTTGTTTCCTTATTTTTATTTGTAGAATATGCTGGTAAAATTTTGCTAAAAAACTAGGATATCCTATTGTTAAATGTTTATAAGCATCACTATTGTTTAAACAATAATTCATAGAAATTGTACTCTAACAGACTAAACAATATGATTAAATTGACAAGAGACCAGGAACGAGTGGAGACTCTCGGAATAAGAAATGGTTTATCAGTCATAATGGATTCACTTTTGGATGATAATTTTTATTCAATATTGCCCTTTAAGGGTTGGAAAGTAAGTAGAAACAACATCATATTATGTTAATTAATTGAAAAAGTAAAACAGTGATCTTTAATTATATTCTACATTTTTAGAACGATTTACAGTCGCTATAATTAAATCTGCTATCAAGCAAAAATTATCGTTCATTTTATAATAATGCCAGAATTGGAACAGTCATAGTTACTTATAACGGATTAGAAAAGTCATTTGTTACCGGAAAAAATCTCGCAATTTATAACTTGTTACTCTTGCACTTTCTGCACGGGAATTAATATATTCAATTTCCCATAAGAATGACTTGAAATATACAAGTCGGAACACATGCGGATATATGTATATTAAAATATTATTTTATTAGAAATAGATTTTTAAACCTTTTTATTATTGTACTTGTGCACAAAGTATCGCGCTGACTCTTACTTCTCAATATATTGTTGTCTGTAATTTAATTAAATTTAAAAAGGTCTGGTGTGCGTGCATGTGCGCGCGCGCGCGAGAAAGGACAGAGAAGAGAGAGAGAGAGAGAGAGGGGGGGGGGGCAGAGAAAAAGAGAAAAATTTAGTAAAACTAACATTCATTGAGTTTTTAGGTGACTGTGTTCAATCCTACTGATTATCCAGATATGACCAGTGGTGGTGTTACGGAGGTATTCGCAATGCCTCAATACGAAACATATCTGAATGTGGAAGCAACGCTTTTTAGCAGTAGTCAGACCATTATAAATTTACCCAGAAATAAACGTAACTGTATATTTTCAGATGAAACAATTTTTTCAAATATTACAATGTATACTTACAGCGATTGTATCGTCGATTGTAAGATTAATGACATACAGAAGTTCTGTGGATGCAGACCATTCATTTACCCACGTCGTGGCAAGAAAGAATGTTAGTAAAAGCATGTTATTAATTTTTTCAATTGTTTATCCTTCCAATCATTGTTAATAATCTTGATTCTCAAAAAGTCAAAATGTTTTGACCTTCCGTCACTCATTATTAAAAAGTTATTAATAAAATAATTTTTATATAAGTAGAACATAATTTCTGAAACAAACAAGATAGAAAAAAGTCTTCTATTATGAGATAGGCTATCTAATATAAGATAGCGGTGTTTCTGCTAAATTAATAAATGCTATCTATTGGTTCCACCATGAATTTATTGCTCTTAGATTGAAAAGTATTTAATAGAAAATTTATTATTAGATCATGTCTGTAGTCATTGTAAAACAAGATTTTAAAATGTGGATATTTTCAAGTTTCATTGAGATGAGCATTTGAACCTTATTTATTGTTTAATAAATAAATAGCAATAAATAAATAAATAATTAGCAATAAATTCTTCGTGTAGTAATAGAATAAAGTCGTACTAATAGAAAAATACGGGATTTGTTGAATTGTTTAGTTACAGTAAATTAGATGATTATGAAACCAAGGCGTGGAAATCGAGAGACTCAGGGTATTCCTAATATAAAATAACTCATGCTCCTATGTTATAGTGAAAATCGTTGCTAAAGAAAAAAAAAAAATAAATGTTATACACTAATAAAAAAGACAACCAGAATAAACATCGAGTCTATATCTGCAATATTTGATTTCAATTACCTAAAAACGAGTTTGGAATATAATCAATCGCAGACTCATTTTTTGCGCATGCTGACTGTGTTTGTTTATATTTTAGAAACATTAAATAAAGTTTTTTAATACTAATTTTAATACTGATATATTTTGTGTTTTATTATCGATTTCTCGCAGCATCTTATACTAGAAAATTTTTTTACTTTGCGATTTGCTCACTTTTTACATTCTTCAATTTCTTTAATTTTCAGAAAAAATGGAATTTGAATTAAATTTTATGTAACGTTATCTTAAAGCTTATTAAATTTCCTTCAAAATGACTTATTATTTTTTTAAATTCTGTCTATAGACTTCTAGCATTTACACAAAATGAACTTGGTATCTCACAATAGGAGCCTTCCCTCTATATGTATATATTTTAACAAAATATATGAGATGAATCTCGTGTTTCACGTTATATTTCCGCGAATATTGAGCGATTATGACATGAGATGCATGTTGTTTTAGTCCATTTTGGAGTAAAAGATCATTATGTAAATTATTTAGCAGAATTTATGTTTAAAAAACGGTGTGGTTTTAATGAAAGAATACCATATAACATAGTGACTTACTTATATAAGTAATATTCATTATAACTAATGTTGTAGCAACTATCAGTGAATGAAATATATTTTCTCGAAAAAATGTTAACAACATTTTTTTAACAAAAAATGTTAAAAATGTTATTATGTGCTAAATGTGACGATGTGTTTTCTTTTCAATGTTATTATTTTGAGTTGTAATCCTAATACGTATGTACAAATAATGCGAAATCTTCTTAAATATCAAGATCAACATCAAGGTCACTCAGAAGTCATTTTTGAGGGGTTGATTGTGTAAAGGGAATTATATTATTACTTAGTTGTAAAAACAATACGATTCTTTAAAATGCTTTATAAAAACGAAATTTTTATTTTATTTATATAATTTTGTCCTTTGTACAGATTAATTTTACAAATATTCTTTATTTGAGACTATTATTATACTTAATATGTAATATATAAATATATAAATATGTATGTATATGTTTTGTTATATTTCAGATTCATGGCGTATTTGCAATATCACGGACTTCCAATGCTTAACTAAGTATAAATGTAAACATTTTATTATATTATTAATAATAAAAATAGTTGCTTTTTTACATAAGCAATTTGAAAATTTTAATGTTTATACCTATAACATATTATATAAATAAATGTATAATAATGATTATGTTATACTCTATATACTGATCCTTTATTTTCTGGAATAGCTAAACGATTGACGATTTTCCCTTACGAGGATGATCACAGTATTTTTTACCAAGAAGGAGATAATACTTTACATTGTTTACATTGTTACCCTGCCTGCAATGATACTAATTATGATATATTAAGTTGGAGAAATCTCATCATTCACGGTATATTTGAATCCAACTTATTGTAAGCATAGCATTTCTATTGGTATAAAAAATAAAATTCTTTTTGAAGATCGTTTCTAAACAAGACGTCGAAATATTTTTGTTTAATTTCAGTCCGAATTACAAAATTACTAATGAAGGAGTGCTGCATGTATACTTTTCCCAATACGGCACAATCAAATTGAATCAAGATGTGTCTTCTTACTGGTATAATCTTTTAAGTAAGTACAGATTGTTAAGAAATCATACTTATGAATGGGAGTTTAAATGTAAATTTTTACAATTCAAACTTTTACATGTCTTTATTAGATTAAAAACTTTTCAAAAAAATTTATAAACTCAATCTATTTTGAATATAGGACCAATCATAGAAATAAGATTCTTTCTTTTATTCAATTCTTTCAGAAATAATATAATTATGAATTATTTTACTTAGTGTTTCTTTAAAATTTATTCTAATAATTATTTCTTAAGGCGGAAGCCATAATAATTTTTAACAAATAATTGTTTGTAAAATGAATAAAATTGATAAATGCAAGGAATGTAAAAGATATACAAAATTGTTCAAGGTTTAATTGAATTCCCTCTTATAGTATAAATTGTATAAATATAAATACTTAGTGCCGATCATTGATATATTTAATATTACAGCACTTTATATCTTGTATATAATTAGATGTTTGAAGAAATAACTATAATTTGCAATATTTGCATATTGCAGAAGAAGAAGTAAATGTAGAGAACGTTTTATTCAGTATGTAAACTATAATCGAATCTTTTTATAGTTTTGTATCTTTTCCTAAAACATATGAATAAGATATACACATGATCAAAGCTAGAATGAAATAGAAATTTTCTCCACGTTCTTCTGTAAGATGTTCAGAGATTCTCAAAGATAGACTTTTAATTTTTTAATATTTTGTTTATGATATTTTTTTACTCTAGTCTAATTCTTGTGCAAAAAAAAGATAACATTTTATATATGTAAGGCAATTATAAAGGGCAATTTCTAATTACCGTTCAGTGCTTACTTTGCAAATATATTGCTGAAACGAGAAATGTATTTTCCGATAAACATAGAACAGTTTATTCAACTTTTCATAATCCCAAAAAAATAAAAAAATAATTTGTATATAATTAATATTCGGTAAAAAAATTTTTTAATTTGGTTTTGTATTGGGTTGGAGGAAAAATTTAGCAGTATTTTGTTAGAAATAAAATTATATATACAATATTTTCGTTAAAAATGATAAAAATTTAAATTTAAAAAGAGGGTTTTAAAGCTTGAATATTTTTTGATTTTATGTGAGTTTTATAATTTTTATACATAAAAAATTACGAGCTGAAAAAATTCTTTTTTTCACTTCATAGATTTGTTACGTGCCAAAAAAATTTGCAAAAATTTTCGACTATTTATATCGTGAAAGTTTTCTTATAAAATCATTTTGTAAAATATTTCTATGATTTTTCGGTTTTTGAATTATTTGCGAATTAAATAAAAAGAAACATTCTGATTTTGATTACTCCGTTAAAAATTATCGTCTGCGTGTAACTTGGTAATAAAAAGTCATAGGAACATTTTTTAAAAACGAATTTTCAAGAAAAACTTTAAGCTTTCACGTCTGGTAGTCAAAAATTTTACAACAAATATATTTTGTATATAATATTGAGCTAACAAAATTCCACAGAATTTTTCTTCTGACCCAATATATATTATGTATATGCATTTATATAATACTATTTGTATCCATTATACTAATAAAATTAATGTGATAAAAATTTCATTCAAAATAATGTTGTTTGAAAATTTTAGATTCATTCTTAAAAAATTTGTCGTTTTAAAATTTAAACATAAATTTAGAAGTACTTTTTAAAGAATTGACATTTTAGGAATTATTTGTAATATCTGTTACAATACGTTTTTTAAATATTTTTTTAAATCTAATAATTATTATTAAAAAGTAAAAAGTAATGCTAAAAAATACATTATGATATTTAAATAATATTAATCCTAAAAATGTCAATTTTAAAAAAGTATTTCTAAACTTTTGCTTGGAGTGTATACATATGTGTTTATACATGCGCGTATGTGTATTTACAAACTACAAAAAAATATAGCATTATATGTATTAGATCCATAAAATATTGATTATAGGATAACAAATGTGTGCAAAAAAGGGAAAAAAATAACGGTGATATCGCTGGAAAAATCCGTTGTCTTTTTTACACATAAATAATTACAGAAGGATCCTATTTGCTTACAAATCGATTGCTTGCAGCATCGTTTGCCTACATCACTTTTGCCGACAATTCGTTTGTGCATAAAAATTATTGCCTACAACTCGATTACTGACATACACTTTGCGCACAAATGAAAATTTCAGAAATAAAATCACATTTGCCTAGGTGTATTATTATCTACCTTTATTATATTACTTACTGCTCGATTGCCTGCATATATTATTCTCTGCTTTAAAAACACAAATTCTGTGTTTTAAAATACAAACTTTTTGCTTTAAAAACACAAACTATTTTCTTATTAACTTAACATTAATTTTATATTTGTGTGTAAAGATGCATGTAGACAATCGAGCTGTAGATGACAATTTTTGCAGTAAACGAACTGTCGATAAAAGTGATATAGACAAATGTTGTAATCAATCGATTTTTAGGCAAAAGCCCTCTCATTCGTCATTTCATGTGCGTAATGCTTTTTAAGAATAAACATTGAAAACACATGGCTGGTTCATGAAGTCATTTTATCCTTTCTTGCTCATCGTATCACAAAAATAATCATTTTACAGGTGATATCGGCGGTTTATGTGGCGTCTTCATCGGCTTTAGTTTCATCTCTATAGTGGAGCTTCTGTATTTCTTTGTGCTCTTGTTTTGCGATTTGTTTTGTAAAAAATCGGCCTTGCAAAAGAATGATCGCAATATTGAAATCTCACCAGATCAAACCACAGGAAAATTATATTGGAATGAACTGTTGCCGCGATCTTGGCATTCAGCGAAATACTGCAAATTCTCTATTAAAAAAGCTAGATATTAACTAACGGAGTTATTATGAAATTATTCAAGAAAATTTCCGATTAAAATATTTTTATTTTTGTCAATTAATTTATTAAATTTTAAATAAACATAACAATTTTTTAACAAAATATATACTTTTAATTCGAAATTTAAATCAAGATTACTGGTAAAAACCGAATCAATCTGTAGACTTTTCACTCCTGCCGATTAAAATTCTCTTTTGCACTATAAAATTAAAAACTATAAAATTAAAAATTTAATCTAAAATGATCACTGATTGACGAAATTTTGGTAATAATAACATGTATATCAAAATCGCAACATAAAACGTCTTAAAGACATTTTAAAACGCTGTATGTTTTGATTTTGGATAAGTTTTTTTTTAATGTACTAATATTATACAAATTGGATCAATACACCATTTCACAATACATAAAAGAATATAATATATACGTAAATACAATATATTATACAGTATATAATTATAATAAAAAATATGATTAAAACGCAATACACAATTCTAATATTGTCTTACAATTAGATTCTTAAAGCATAATTATTGAAATATTCCGAAATGTGTATAATAACATAATATTCACAGTTCTTATACCAGATACATTAATGACTTTTTGGTATTAAAGTTAAATTTCTTAAGAATATAAAATAAAAATTGTAAAAACATCTAATAACGTGTTAATTCGTGAAATTTTGTGTTATTATATGCATTTTGATTTCATGTAATTTGGTAGAATATAAAAATTAAACACTTAATTTCATACAATTTTACACAATTATGTTAAAATTAATACAATATTAATATGAACTTTTGCATAACAATTTCTCTAAACCTGCATCTTATATTTCTATACAGATAAATTTCAATTTCTTTATAAAATTATAAAATTAATAAAGTTTTTATTTCATTGTCGACATTACAATATCTAATATAATATATAATATATAATATAATGAATTTAGAAATTTGATTTAATCTTTATATAAATCATAATATTCATGAAACGTGCACCCTCATTATATTTCATGCTATATATTTTGTTTATGGCTAAAGTTATAAAGATTGCTATACAATACAAAAAATATAAATATTTCTCCATCTCCTTTATGGTTCTATTTTAATATCCATAATTTACATTTATATCTTGATTGTTATATATTGTTATATATTATTTATATATGTTGTATGATTATTAATATATAAAGAGATGTAATTAATATATAGAGAGATGTAAGATTTTCTTTGGCATTTTTAATATTTACCAAGGAATTTATATTTTTGGTTATATACTCTAAAGATAATAGAATATTCCATGGTTCAGTTTGCACAATAGGCGATTTTTTTTAGAGATCTTTTAATACAGAGTACCAGAGTTGTTAATGATGCACGGAGTATTCGACGACGTATGAATTTGATGCTGTTTAAGAATTTCTTACTCTGACTTAATATATAATAGACGAGACATAGAAAGAATAAGAAGTAAATAAAACGGCTATGCCTTTGTTACTAACGAATAAACACGCAAAAACAGTTTGGTTATTATACTAGAATCACGCTAAAAAAAAACGCTTAATAATTCCTTAATGTATAATCAATAATATAAATTTTACGTATGTTATGTATATATCTTCTATATATCAATCACACTTACAATGGAAATATTAAATCTCATATACAAAAAAAAAAAACGTATACAATACTGCAAAGATTACAAAATCGAAAGAAAATTAAAAAAGTAACATAGTACCGTTTTATGTATACAATATCAAGAAAGAATAATAAATTTAAGTTATTAATTAAACGAATAAAATAAAAATCTTTAATTAGTAAACACAACAAATTATTTTGTAATTTATTGTGATATGTTTCCAATAAAAATAAATTAAAGAATAACATGTTTGCAAAGTTATTCTGTCTATCTAAGTAATAGTACCTTTAATAACCTTTAATTTATTTATATTGCAGTATATATTTTTAAAATTAATTTTAGATTAAACCAATACTAATATAAAAGAAATTATATTACATTGTTATCTCGTCGATATACTGCATTATATCTCAACCATTTATATATTTTACTACTAATTATTCTCTCTATCATGACTATAGGGTTATCGTTTATACTGCTTCTAAGTATATATGTACTTTTGTTTTGAGATTGTGAAATAGTGCACTCTTATTTTTCACTTACTGAAACCGAATGTACTTCTTTTTGAAAAATAAATCAATTAAAATTAAAAAAACTCTTTTATATTTAAAAACAAAAATGTAGAAATTGATTATATTTTTTCGATCAAACATCTAATTTAAATATATTTTTGGAAAACATAGACGCGAATGCAGAGTTGGAGGAAAATGTCATTAAATGTTATCGAATAAATTTAAATAAATAGATTACTTTCAAAAATGTAAATAAACATTTGAGTTTCGAAATCTTGAAGATATGTTCTTTCTTTTTTACAATCCCAAGCCATAATATGATAATGTGGAAAGCTTCTACCTCATAAACGTTTATTGGTTTAAGGAAATAGACCGACTGTGGTTTGATTCCGTTAAAGAAATTGTTAATGGTTCAATACAATTTTATTCATTTCAAACAATTTGATTGTTTATAATTCCCTATAACAATAAAAATTGTAACAGCAATATTGCAGCATTATAAGTTGCAGTAATATTGCAGCGTTATTATAGCGATATTGTTGCAAGTCTGTGTTGTATGGGATTTTACAATTATTGCAAGGAAGACAAAAAACTATTAACTGAAGTATGAAACAAGGCCAAATATCCATTACGAAATTTTATATTTATGTATATTAATTATATATATTAATTAATTATTTATGTATATTAATATATAAAATTTATATTGTATATATATATATATATATCCCATACAGAACAGAAACTTGTAGCAACATTGCTGCAACATTTCAATGTTGCAATACAATGTTGCAGAAATATTGCGAAGACTTTTTCTTGCAATATTGTAGCAACTTCAGCAATGTTGTAGCAGTATTTTTAAAATATTTCCAGCAAGAGACACAAATTGACATAAGAGTCATCCTGTCCTTGTTTAAAAAGCAGTAAGCAACAAAGAATGTTACTGTGTCGATTTGTGCCTGTGCTAGAAAATTCACTTTGAGTATTAAGATTCTTCTATATATTGATTTGTATAACCGAATATGTATAACAATAAAGTAAGGACCTGGACATAATGAAAGAATAGGAATTAATGATCACGTTTACACGGCACTTAATCAGGTTTCATAACTATAATCTGTAGTTATGGAATTGATAACTATAATGAAACTCACAACTATAATGAAACTCATAACTATAATGAAAAATGGAATGAATGGTTAGTTTCTAACTACAAATATTATTAAATCCGATTAATGTTCATTTCTATCAATATAGATTAATTTTAATCTCAGTTCAACTTATTTTCGTCTTTTTGTTGTTCTAAAGATTAGAAAAAGAAGAGTGAGTTGAATCGAGATTAAAGTTAATCTACATTAGTGGAAACGGGCATAAGGTATAAACGTAATCAATGTTTATAATTTATAGACATAAAATAATTAGAAGTAAAGATTAAATATAATGCACAATGGATACAATAATAAGATATAAGACATATAAAAAATTAGAAGTAGCAGTTAAATGTAACATGAATTGTAATAATGAATACAAATAAAATATGACTTCATAATTAATTATGTCGTTATATTTTATAGGCGTTATATTTTATTCCGATGTGCACTAATATTGAAAATTTATAATTCACATTACGTATAGATTTTCAGTGTATATCGGAACACGCCTATAAAATATAAAGACATAATTAATTATGAAGTCATATTTTATTTGTATTCCTTGTATGTTACATTTAATTCCTACTTGTAATTTTTTATATTTAAATTTATATAATACAAAATCTTATAATAAATATTGCAGTTGTAATATTACAGCAATGTCTGCATTATTACAATGTTTCTACAAGTATTCCTCCTGTACGCAAAATATTACATATATATTATATATTAT